TGTACATATTTGTCCCAGTTGCACCAAACTTAGGGTTCCGTTAATATTCTACTTAGTTGTACCCAGTGGTTTCAGTTGTCCCAAATCTACAATCCCAAAATATTCAACAAATAACTCTATTCAAGCTACGAATTAAACTTAATCATACTATACTAAGAAAACAAGTATACTTACCTTACAGTATGGTGGGAAGAGAAGAAGAGGAAGAGAAGAGATGTCTTTGGAGATGCAAAATCGTAAGCTTTAATGGTGAGCTTCAATGGTGGATGCTTGGATCGTAAGAAGAAGAAGAATTCACTTTTAGTTTGGAGATGCTTGAATCGTAAGAAGAAGGAGATACGGATCTTTTAATGGTGGATGGAGAAGAAGAAGAAGAATAAGAACGTCGGAGCTGCACGTCGGAGTTGGAGCTGCAACGTCGGAGCTGCTGAAGAACGTCGGAGCTGTTGAAGAAGAAGAAGAATAAAAAGAGAAAAAAAAATCTCTTAGGGTTAAATGTCGTAAAAGGTTTGAATTTTAATGAGAGAAGAGAGAGAAAGTATGTGATTGGTTGAATAAAGAATGTGTTGGTATTTAATTAAATGTAGAATAAAAAGATAAAGGGTAGAGTTGGTTTATGAAAAAATTGGGAAGGAGAGGGGGTAGTGAGAATAAAGTGGGGTTTTTCAAAAATTGATTCACCCCAAATGGGCTAGAGAGATTAAAATCCGTGGATGTCACAAAGGATCTTCGTCTAAAACGGGATGCCGTGTAAGCAGTGGTGGATCATGCCACGAGAGAGCTACACAAGAACGATGGGCTGACTTTGGAATGGGCTTTGCTGTCTGGGCCTTCTTTGCGACCAAATTAGATAAGCTATTCCTCTTCTCTTTTCTTATTATTATTTTATTTTTTAAATTAGTTTAACTTTCTAAAAATTAATAATGATTTTAACTAAAAAAGTTTAATTTTACTAAAACTTAAAAACAAATTTAATCTTTTTAAATTAAGATTTAACTAAAACCATGTGAATTTCACTAAAACTTTTTAAAAATTAGTTTAAGTGTTAAATTTTAAACACGTCGAAAACTAACCGCGCCTAGGCATCCTGTCCTTAGTTGGTCTGTAAGCTTTGGTGTTCGAAGTTCGGCAATGTTTTCACGTAATATAGAATTAACACTTGAACTCATTTTTAAAAAATAATAATGATTTTCACTAAAATTTAAAACAAATTTAACACTTAAACTTTAAGAAAATAATATTGTAAACTAAAACAATGTGAATTTCACTAAACTATTCTAAAAATTAGTTTAAGTGTTAAATTTTAAACACAAAAGAAAACTAACCGCGCCTAGGCATCCTGTCCTTAGTTGGTCCGTAAGTTTTGGTGTTCGAAGTTCGGCAGTGTTTTCACGTAATATAGATTTAACACTTGAACTCATTTTTAAAAAATAATAATGATTTTCACTAAAATTTAAAACAAATTTAACACTTAAACTTTAAGAAAATAATATTTTAAACTAAAACCATGTGAATTTCACAAAAACTTTTTAAAAATTACTTTAAGTGTTAAATTTTAAACACGTAGAAAACTAACCGCGCCTAAGCATCCTGTCCTTAGTTAGTCCGTAAGCTTTGGTGTTCGAAGTTCGACAATGTTTTCAAGTAGTATAGATATAACACTTAAGCTCATTCTTAAAAAATAATAATGATTTTAAAAAATAATTAAAAAATAATAATATTTTAAACTAAAACCATGTGAATTTTACTAAAACTTTTAGTTATACTAAAATTTAAAGTAAATTCACCTTAAAATAAAGGGAGACTCACCATAATGCCCCTTTTTCAATATCCTTTGTCAAGAATGCCCCATTTGGATGACCATTTTTAAAAATACCCCTTTTATGTACAAAATGACTAAATTACCCTTCTTTTAATAAAAAATATCATAAATATATAAGGAAATATAACAAAATTAGGTCCACAAAATACAAAATATTTTTTAGCGGGAAAAGTGATCCCCCAATTTTTCCCGCCAAAACACTTGTAAAAATTTGTAAAACCTTTAAAATACATTGTAAAATTTTCCCGTAAAATTTTTTCCCGCCAAAAAATTTTCCCGCCAAATAAAATTTTTTTTCGGGAAAAGTGATTCCGCAAATTTTTTGGCGGAAAATTTTTGGCGGGAAAAATTTACAAGGTATTTTAAAAGGTTTTTACAGGGTATTTATAAAGTTTTACAATGTATTTTAAAAGGTTTTACAACGTATTTATAAAGTATTTATAAGATATTATAAGATTTTACAAGCTATTTTATAAGGTTTTACAAGTTATAAGGTTTTACAAGTTTTTTATAAGGTTTTACAAGTTATAAATACCTTATAAAACCTTATAAGTACCTTGTAAAACCTTTTAAAATACATTGTAAAACCTTACAAAACACTTGTAAATACTCCGTAAAACCATTAAAATACCTTGTAAATTTTTCCGGCCAAAAAAATTTCGGCAAAAAAATTGCGGAATCACTTTTCCCGCAAAAAAAAATTTTTGGCGGGAAAATTTTTTGGCGGGAAAATTTTACAAGGTATTTTAAAGGTTTTTACAAGTGTTTTGGCGGGAAAATTGCAGGATCACTTTTCCCCTCAAAAAATATTTTATATTTTGTGGACCTAATTTTGTTTCAAATAAGGGTAAAATGGTCATTAAAAATTAAAAGAGGGCAAACTTAAAAATGGACTCTCAAAAGGGGCATTTTTAACAATTTCTCTAAAATAAATTTAACATTTAAACTAGTATTTTTAAGAAAACAATGTTTTTAACTAAAAGTAAGATAAAATTCTTAAACGTATATTTTGATGCTATTTTATTTTTTCTAATGAACTTATGTATTTTCTATATAAAAAAATTTGACCCCTATAAACAATTTTTCTGGCTCCGCCACTGGTTGTTGGTCTGTAAGCTTTGGTATTTTAACAAATTCAACATGTTTCTATGAAATAAAGATTTAATACTTAATAGTAATTTTTTAATGTTTTTAATGATTTTCAATAAAAATCTTTTAATTTCACTAAATTTTAAAATAAATTCACCTTGAAAGAAATTTAACACTTAAGTAATATTTTTAAGAAAGTAATTTTCTTCTTTAGACAGTTCAATAAGCCCTCATAAGTGAAAACGAAACCCAAATTATTTTGCTAAACCGCTTCTGCGAACCAATCTATGAAACCGATAAAAAAAGCGACATGATTGATTGGTTTGAATTCAAAATTTCACCGGTCAGACAAGAAACCCAATCATTGTACGAAGGTTAAAAAAAAAAAAAAGACAGGAAAATATTACGGTCCATAAAAATCGGCCACGTGTTCGTAATGTTCACCGTCAACAAAAGAGATTCCGATTAAGAGATATCGATAAGAGAGAAAGGGGACCCAAAAAAGGTTAGGTGGATCTCATGAAATCGGTGGAGCTCCCCCATATCTTTTTTTAAATAGCTTTCTTCTTTTGGCCCTGTCTCCAGAGATTCTTATATACCACCGAATCTTCAATTTCTGCAACTTTTGTATCTCGTCGACTCTTTTCTGGTGAGCCCTTCTTCCTCTCGTTTTTAGGGTTTGGGTTTTCTTCAAAATCTCACCTTTTTTTATTTAGAATTGGTAACGCTCTTGAATCAGTGTATTTGCCTCTGTTTTTATTATTCGTGTTAGGGTTTGTTGATTGTGACACTTTGATTCTCTTTGTACAGTAGTTTATTTACTGGGGTCAAACTTGAATCGGTAATTTAGGGTTTTGACTCTTTGAGTTATCAGGTTATTATATGGTGTGAAAGCGTTGACACTGTTTGTTTTAAAACTGCTTTGTATGTGTTTGCTTGACGAGTTCCTCCTTTAGTAGCAGTAGTGGGAATGTGGGATACATGTCTTTGTCCTTTGGTTGGATATTTGTCGATAAATTTGCTTTCTTTTTTATTGAAACAGATTGCCAAATTCAGAAAACTGTTGTGCTTCTATTGAATTGGGCTTCCTCTATCTTTATTATAGAGGTAACTTATTTGTGTGTTTGTTGATTTTGAGTTCTGTAGATCCATCAGGATTTTCGTTGTTGTCTCATCTTCCCTGAATTCTTTTTTTTTTTTTTTTTTTTTATGCAGATGGAGTCTTCAAGTCCCCACCATAGTCACATTGTTGAGGTTAATGTAGGAAAATCGGAAGAAGAAAGAATTATTGTGGCAAGTAAAGTCTGTGGAGAAGCGCCTTGTGGGTTTTCGGATTCTAAGAATGCTTCCGGAGATGCTCAGGAACGCTCTGCTTCTATGCGGAAGCTTTGTATTGCGGTCGTGCTGTGTCTAGTGTTCATGAGCGTTGAAGTTGTTGGTGGCATTAAAGCCAATAGTTTGGCCATATTAACCGATGCTGCTCATTTGCTCTCTGACGTTGCTGCCTTTGCTATCTCCCTCTTCTCATTGTGGGCTGCTGGCTGGGAAGCAACTCCCAGGCAGACTTACGGGTTCTTCAGGATTGAGATTTTGGGAGCTCTTGTGTCTATCCAGCTCATTTGGTTGCTCACGGGTATTCTGGTTTATGAAGCCATTATCAGAATTGTTACAGAGACCAGTGAGGTTAATGGATTCCTCATGTTTCTTGTTGCTGCTTTTGGTCTAGTGGTGAACATCATAATGGCTGTTCTGCTAGGGCATGATCATGGTCACAGTCATGGGCATGGACATAGCCATGGCCATGACCATCACAATCACGGTGGAAACCATAGCCATGGGGTGACTGTTACTACCCATCACCATCATCATGATCATGAACATGACCATAGTCATGGTCATGGAGAGGACAAGCATCATGCTCATGGGGATGTGACTGAGCAATTGTTGGACAAATCGAAGACTCAAGTCGCAGCAAAAGAGAAAAGAAAGAGAAACATCAATGTCCAAGGAGCTTATCTGCATGTCCTTGGGGATTCCATCCAGAGTGTTGGTGTTATGATTGGAGGAGCTATCATTTGGTACAACCCGGAATGGAAGATAGTGGATCTGATCTGCACACTTGTCTTTTCGGTTATTGTCCTAGGAACAACCATCAACATGATTCGAAACATTCTAGAAGTATTGATGGAGAGTACACCCAGAGAGATTGACGCCACAAAGCTCGAAAAGGGTCTGCTTGAAATGGAAGAAGTGGTGGCTGTTCATGAGCTTCACATTTGGGCTATCACAGTGGGAAAAGTGCTATTGGCTTGCCATGTCAATATCAGACCAGAAGCAGATGCAGACATGGTGCTCAACAAGGTAATTGATTACATCCGCAGGGAGTACAACATTAGTCATGTTACGATACAAATCGAGCGCTAAAAGCGAAGTAAGATCTGATGAAGGGTTTTTGTATCAGCATTCTCATTAACAATAAAATCAATAAAGTTTCTACATTTTTCACTTTCTCGTGTTCCTCTGCTTTGGTTTATATAGTTATAGTTATATTTCATCATCGTTTGGTTGAGCACAAGTAAGCACTATTCCTCTTCAAGGAAGAAACTTTTTGTCCTTGTTTCAAAAAGGGTGAAAGGACACAACTGCTTAGGACAGATACGTTATCTTAGGTCTGCCTTCATTTAAGATTCATTATCTTCCTAGGAGTCACAGGGCTTGTGATTGTGTTACAAGCAGAATCTGACTGATTGTTAGGGGTTTAATTGATATGTCACAAGTGGACCATGTTTGTCCTGAGAGTAAGTAACCAGAGCTTTAAGTTACATCAGCAAGTACAATGTAAAAGATGAAATCTCCACAAGGCATTCTTAAAAACCTATGTAAAAGTTGAATCTTTTTTTTTACTTTGTAGGCGGTTCTGGCTCTCTTATTACACAGTAGTATGAACGAGATCTCTAGAATGCAGACAAATTAATTCGTGTTTTCTGGGAAGTTTTTGTGTTGGATCTTGTTTTGGCTGTGTTAGACTTACCACGTGAGATAAACAGAGACCACAATTGAGAGAACATGGATAAGGTTTCTTCTTGTGAGCTTATTAAGATCGAATCTGTGTTCTTGTTTGTCCTCAAAGAGGTAAAAATTTCGGATTTGATCGATAACAAATTGTAGTTCTTTGGAATCCTGTAAATATTACAAAGAAGTAAGGGTTAAAAAGGGAAATTTTATTTACCGTTTTTTTTATACATAGCTCGTAAATACAAAATTCTGATGCAAAAATAAAGATATTTACAGGCAAACACTGGTTGGTACCCTTAAAGCCAAGGCATCGACAATTACATGTTTAGCAGATAAGAAGCCACAATTCACGGGTTAACTAAATAAGAGACTTTCAAAAGATTCAATTTTTATCTATTGGGTTGCAACAAAAAGCAAGCTTTTTAAGAAATGTAAGAACACAAACCAATGGAAACTCTCTTCTTCTTCTACTTCTTCTTCTTCATCATCATCTTCCGTGTGTTAACAGAAGTCCCCACAATTGTCTGTCTTCGCTGCCAGACAAAACTGCCACAGCCAATAATGTTTCTCTGAGGGACCTTTCTTCTGTCAGAGACTCTCTCTCTCTCTCTCTCTCTCTCCTCTTCTTGCTCTGCTCAGCCCTCTCACCAACTCATCTTCAGTCCTCAAACAAACATCTCTTCTCATATTTGTTTTCTTTCCTTTCTTTCTCATATCTCATTTTCAATTTTCCCATTTTCTCTTCAACATCTTCGTAGCAATTTAAGACCACTCTTCTATATAAAGCTAACAGCTTTAGCTTCAGAAGCTTTCATAACAAGAAGTGACTACATGAGTTTCCTGTTTTTACTTCATTAAACTCCTCACATTTATTTCTTCCCCATCATTGTCCTCTTAGAGAGAGAAAGAAAAAGAGCTCAGCTTTTCTAATGGAGAGGAGTATTCAAGGACAAAACAAGCTCTGTGTAATGTATCTTATCTCAATTTGGAACGTTTTTAGTTTTTTTTCTTACTTCTAATCTTTTCTTTCAACTATTGATTCAAAGATGTGGACTTGCATTTACTCCTTCCAAAAGAGTCCACATTGGTTGCATTCAATGCTATCTGTGTTTGTTATACCAAAAACACCAACAAATCTGCTCTCAACTGTTTCCCTCTCTTTGAAACATTCCATTTTTCATTCTAATTTTGTTTCTCTACTCTGACCCACTAACCAAAACCCACACTAGTCTACCCAAATTTAATATTTCTCTTTTCAATCTCACTTTCTCTTTACTCACTTGGTAGGTATCTCCTTCCTCTGCTTTTCTTTTCTTGCAGTGTTTGGATCAAAAATTGAATGTGAGAAGAAGCCTACAAGTTCAAGGAACTGTAGAGGATCATCAAAGCTTTGCCCTTGAGGAAGACCAACTCTCAACTCCAAGCTTGCTGCAAGATACAACAATTCCATTCCTACAAATGCTGCAACAAAGTGAAGACCCTTCTCCGTTTTTGTCATTCAAAGACCCAAGCTTTCTAGCACTACTATCTCTCCAGACGCTTGAAAAGCCTTGGGAACTCGAAAACTATCTCCCACATGAAGTTCCAGAGTTTCATTCACCGATCCATTCTGAAACTAACCACTACTATCATAACCCATCTTTGGAAGGGGCCAATGAAGCCATCTCAAGCAAAGAACTTCCATTCAACCCACTAGAGAATGCAAATCCAAGACGCAAGCGGAAAAACAACAACTTGGCAACATTGATGACCAGAGAAAAGAGAAAGAGAAGGAGAACTAAACCAACAAAAAACATAGAAGAGATTGAGAGTCAAAGAATGACACACATTGCGGTTGAACGAAACCGCAGACGCCAAATGAACGTTCATCTGAACTCACTCCGCTCCATCATTCCACCTTCATACATCCAAAGGGTATAAACAACAAAACCCCACAAATCAAAGTTCCAACCTTTATCAAATGTCGAATTTCCTTAAACTAATTTTGTTTGTAATTTCCATAGGGAGACCAAGCGTCGATAGTAGGAGGAGCAATAGACTTCGTAAAGATCCTAGAGCAACACTTGCAATCCCTTGAAGCACAAAAGAGAACTCAACAGAGTGATGATAACAAAGAGCAAATTCCAGAACTCAGGGACATTTCGTCGAACAAGTTGCGTGCGAGTAGTAAAGAAGAACAAAGTAGCAAACTCCAAATCGAAGCCACAGTGATAGAGAGTCACGTCAATCTGAAAATTCAATGCAGGAGGAAACAAGGGCTACTTCTCAGATCAATCATATTGCTGGAGAAACTTCGATTCACTGTTCTTCATCTCAACATCACATCTCCAACCAATACATCTGTCTCTTATTCCTTCAACCTCAAGGTACTTCTTACTTATATAACAAACAAACAAAAACCCATATTAAAATCATCGACATTGGTGAAAAAATTCAATCTTTTTCTGTTTTATGTCATGCTCAGATGGAAGATGACTGCAATTTGGGATCAGCTGATGAGATAACGGCGGCGATTCGTCAGATTTTCGACAGCTGATTGATTAATCGAATTAAAACACGTCCAAAAAGTAAAAATAAAGTAACGTTTCTTTGGTAACTTCGTTTTCATGAGTGGCGAAAATTAAATTCTTGATTTGGTCGTATGTGATTGGAGTCTTCTCGGCATGGAACTTGACTTTCGTTTTAGGGTACTACTCTCTACAGAATTTGTGGTCCTACTTTGGATTGATTTATAATGAAAGTTTGACCTCTCTCTTTTTTATTGTCTTTTTGTTTTGCTTTTGCCCTCTCTCTTGGGGTTTGACTTTTGTATCATAAATATCTTATCTTAGTTTTCTGACTTCTGAGTATGGGTCTGAAAGTTCTGAGTAACTGATAGGCCCAGCCCAACGACTAAAAGCCCATATGTGTTTGTGTGTATACAAAATAGGCCCGTTTCATGTTTCTAATCAAGTCGCAACATTTCAAATTGTTTCATGAATGATGTGGTTTTGTGTAAACTAAAAAGAAGCATTTGACTAATGTTGTTCAACTAAGTACACTGTTTTCTCATCAGTCATCATAATGGAAGGCATAGAAGAACAATGTATTCGCTCATGTTTATGAATTATGATCTTGAATGTAAATTTATTATCAAAAACCAACCCTAAAAGTAGACGAATTTCGTATTTGTAAAATATTTAGTATTAGGATGTGATTATATAGAGTATAGTAAATTTTAATAGTTGTATAAATTTCCAAAATGGCTATTTTAATGTGAAATTAAACTTGGATTGAAGTGAAATTTTGTTTGTAGAAAAGTCCTAATTTTATAAAAGGAGCCAAAAACCCCAATTCTATCTAATCCAATGAAAACTCTAAGATCGTCTCTACGTCCGCCACGTCAGCACTATCCTGATCGGGAAACCCAAAACGAGTGGTCGAATAGTTTCCGACTGGTCACACAGAAACCATCTCCACAATCCCCAAAACTCACTCACTCTTTCAACACTTGCTCTCTCTCCATTAATCTTTAAGATAATAAACCTAATTGTTTCTGTGAGATTCTTCTGAGGCTTGAAGCTCAAAAGCTATGGCTTCCCTTTCAGTCTCTTCCTCTTCGACCATCATCGATTCGAGAGCTCCTCCTTCTCGGCAAGCCTCCGCCTCCGCCTCTTCTCCGTCGTGTATTTCACTTCCCACACTTCCTCCTCCTCCGATTCAGTCTCATAGCCGCGCCGCTAAAGCCACTGCTTACTGTTCGTTTTCCATAAATCTGAAGTCCCTTTTTCACTTAATTTGTCGATTTCGAGTTTAAAGTTGCAAACTTTCGAAATGGGTTTCTGATTTTAGGTCGGAAGATTGTGAGGAACGTTGTCACGAGAGCTACTACTGAAGTTGGTGAAGCTCCTGCCACTACTACCGAAGCTGAGACTACTGAGTTACCTGAAATCGTCAAGACTGCTCAAGAAGCTGTAAAAACTCTTACTTTATTATACGCTTCGTAATAATGATTCTGCTTCTTGTTTCTTGGTGCCATGAACTGAATTTGATTGTTTTGGATTGAAGTGGGAGAAAGTGGAGGACAAGTACGCTATCGGTTCTCTTGCCTTTGCTGGTGTAGTGGCTCTTTGGGGATCTGCTGGAATGATTTCGGTGAGTACAAGAACACTTTCTTCTTTGAACCCTAGTGTTAAGTTTCCTTTATTTGATTCCAAAATTTGTAATTGTGAAACAGGCAATCGATAGGCTTCCATTGGTTCCTGGTGTTCTTGAACTTGTAGGCATCGGTTACACAGGAGTGAGTTTCTTCTTCTACCATCTTGTCTTTGTAACATTTGAACCAAGCTTTAGTGAACCTGTTTTGAGGGTATAAATGATTCTTCAATCACTTTTGGATTTAGGATTAGTCCTCTGATTTGAGAATCCGAACCTCTGCACTTGAGTGTATTCATATGGAGATATGATAATGATATCATAAATGGATTACTGCTTCTCACGAGTCTTTTGAATCTTAAGACTAGTTTCAATTGTAAAGGACTTGTTTAGTTGCTTGTGTGATGGACCTTAACTTGTGGTTTATTTGTATGATGGACCTTAACTTGTGGTTTATTTATGTTTTTTTTTTTTTCCTATGGCAGTGGTTCACTTACAAGAACCTGGTCTTCAAACCAGACAGGTTAACCAATTCTCTATAACCTGATTAGATATAATGCTTTAAGCCTGTGTTTGGTTTCATGTAGTAATATTGAGAAAATAAGACTCAAGTTCTCGAGGAAATTGTATGTTGTGGCTTTCAGGGAGGCTCTGTTTGAGAAGGTCAAGAACACATACAAAGACATATTAGGGAGCAGCTGAATCAAAGGAGGAGGAAGAAGAAGAAGAGCCTTTTTGGGGGGCCATTCATGAATTCGAATGAAGGATAGATATCAAAAGAATCTAACACAAAGGCCACGTCCTTCCTTCAATCTTTCCTTCTTGTAACTAAATAATTTTCATCCTTTCTTTCTCTGTCTCTTGGTCTTTTTTTAGCTCAAAATATCATCCATTTATGTCAAGTGTTGTAAATTCCTCAAGACTATATATGAGATGTTTTATTTCATTTTCCAAATTTTCAAACTTTTTCTCCATTTTGTTTTCTACTTTCTTACCATTTATGCATGGTCTGAAAAATCGACCGAGATTACAAATTGACTTTACAAAAATATGATCATAGGCACTCAACAAATTTCCATGACATACTCGTAAATTAAAGAACAAAGCCTTTTATAGGTCTGAAAAACAATTAAGCCCAATATAAAAATATGGGCCTGATAACTTTCGGTCTAATTTGAGTATGAATATAGCGCGTGTGGCGAAACGCACGACGATGCGCGTTCGAATGTTGGAGAAGTAGATGTCTAGATTCCCGGGTCCACTGATGTTTCTAGTGTACAAGACACGTGTCGATAAACTGGTGGGGGAGATTAACGATCTTTAAGTAGGTCCCACAATATCAAGATATTATAACGAATTGACCTTTTTAACCTTTCCGGTAGTCCCTGAACTCGTGGCCTAGAATACAGAGAAGGTTGTGAACAAGTTGGGGTTAAGATGGACAAGAAAGTAAATTCAGGAAAAGCTGAATCATCGCATCAGCCACTAATATATTGACATATGGCAGTTTCTTTGGTAGCCTCGAAATAAATAAATAAAAAGAAATAAATAAGTTTGAGGGCAAAGATAATTATAGTGGCTGAGATTTCTCCATTTCCATAGCTTCGGGTCTCTTTTTCTTGTTTCATTGATCAAAAGCAAATCACTTCTTCTCCTTCTCGATTTCTTACTGTTTTCTTCTCCGACGAAATCTGAATTTAAAAATGGGATCTTTATCGAATCCAAGCTGATTTTTGTTTCTTTCATTGAATTATCATCTCTCTAAACTAAAGGTACTTAAAAATCTGGTTTTTATTGTCTCATGGTCTTTCTTATTTCTCAATTTGATGAAAAACTTGGCTTGATTGTTATTTTTTTTTTTGTGGATTAGTGGAATTTTGTAAAGAAGAAGATCTGAAGTTGTGTGTATAGCTTTTGAGGAGCTTAGTGATGGAGACAAATTCGTCTGGAGAAGATCTGGTTATTAAGGTAATTAAATTAAATTTTAGGGGAAAATGATTGTTTTAGGTGAAAAAGATTGAGAATTTAGTGAAACTTGATATAGACTCGGAAGCCATATACGATAACGAAGCAACGTGAAAGGTGGACTGAGGAAGAACATAATAGATTCATTGAAGCTTTGAGGCTTTATGGTAGAGCATGGCAGAAGATTGAAGGTTTATTTTTTATTTTCTTTATATATTTTTGTGTTTGCAGAGGTTTTTATTGTTTTGTTTCTTCTTCAAACTGATTTGCTTTTGTTTTTTTTTTTTTTTTTTTTCAATTGGACAGAACATGTAGCAACAAAAACTGCTGTTCAGATAAGAAGTCACGCTCAGAAATTTTTCTCCAAGGTAAAATCGGTTAATTTTGAACTGCTGTTCTCATCTTCATTGGCTTAATGGTTAAGACTAATTGAAGCCAGACAAGTTTTCTGCTTCGTTTGCTTTAGTCAGGAGATAGATTACGTATTAGAGTTTAGTAATGAGCAAGAAGTCATAGTAGGAGAAATTATGAGAGTGTAATCGTTTTGTTTGGTTTATACCTATATGTTGTTAATCCACAAACATGTACATAGCATCTTCAGAAGAATGTTAGTTTCTCTTGAAAGTCAGGGGAGATCAACTTGTGCCTTTTTGAAAGTTTTATCTACTCTGAGGTAGTGGTCTAGTCCTAGAAATTTATGTCCCACAAGGTGAACCATTTGAATATGTTTATTGTTCCTTGTGATAAGCCATAGAGGTAAACCATTTTTGATTTTCTAGTTTTGTCATTTAAACTTGTTAATTTCATTAGATTTTTGTTTCTTTGCGTTTGTCTAGAGGGTAAAAAGATTACTCTCATCCTCTCAGGTAGAGAAAGAGGCTGAATCTAAAGGTGTAGCTATGGGTCAAGCGCTAGACATAGCTATTCCTCCTCCACGGCCTAAGCGTAAACCAAGCAATCCTTATCCTAGAAAGACGGGAAGTGGAAGTATCCCGATGTTAAAAGCGGGTGTGAATGATGGAAAAGAGTCCCTTGGATCAGAAAAAGTGTCGCATCCTGAGGTGATTTTCATGGTCAATGACATCTTTTTGTAGTGTGTCATATTGCTCCTCATGTTATTAATGCAGATTGTGTGCTTTGTTTTTAGATGGCTAATGAAGATCGACAACAATCAAAGCCTGAAGAGAATAATAATCTGCAGGAAGACAACTGTTCAGATTGTTTCACTCATCAGTACCTCTCTGCTGCATCCTCCATGAATAAAAGTTCTATAGAGACATCAAACGCAAGCACTTTCCGGGAGTTCTTGCCTTCACGGGAAGAGGTAAAAAATCAATCTTTCATAGCTATTTGAGGTTTTAAGACGATTAGTACTTTTTATGAAAACTAAACTTGGGGGAATAACAGGGAAGTCAGAATAACAGGGTAAGAAAGGAGTCAAACTCAGAGAATTACTGTGATTTGAATGCAAAATCTCTGGAAACCGATAATGAGCAAGGACCTCAGACTTATCCGATGCGTATCCCTGTGCTAATGCCATTGGGGAGCTCAATAACAAGTTCTCTATCACATCCTCCTTCAGAGCCAGATAGTCATCCCCACATTGTTGCAGGAGATTATCAGTCGCTTCCTAATCATATAATGTCAACCCTTTTACAAACACCGGCTCTCTATACTGCCGCAACTTTCGCCTCATCATTTTGGCCTCCCGATTCTAGTGGTAGCTCACCAGTTCAAGGGAACTCACCTCCGAATCTGGCTGCCATGGCTGCAGCCACTGTTGCAGCTGCAAGTGCTTGGTGGGCTGCCAATGGATTGTTACCTTTATGTGCTCCTCTTAGTTCAGGTGGTTTCACTAGTCATCCTCCATCTACTTTTGGACCATCCGGTGATGTAGAGTACACAAAAACAAGCACTTTACAGCATGTTTCTGCGCAGAGCCGAGAGCAAGAACACTCTGAGGCATCAAAGGGTCGATCTTCATTGGTCTCAGAGGAGATTGAAAAGAAGAGTAAACCAGATTGTCATGAGCATCCTTCTGTAACACCTGAGAGTGATGCAAAGGGTTCAGATGGAGCAGGAGACAGAAAACAAGTTGACCGGTCTTCGTGTGGCTCAAACACTCCCTCGAGTAGTGATGATGTTGAGGCGGATGCATCAGAGAGGCAAGAGGATGGCACCAAGGGTGAGGTGAAAGAAATGAATGAAGACACTAATAATCCTCAAACTTCAGAGTCCAATGCACGCCGCAGTAGAATCAGCTCCAATATAACCGATCCTTGGAAGTCTGTGTCTGACGAGGTACTTTACTTGGACTAAAGATTAACTTCCTTTATTTCAAATCATTTTCTCATACTAGTCTGTTGAAACTTGATATTGTACATTCAGGGTCGAATTGCCTTCCAAGCTCTCTTCTCCAGAGAGGTATTACCGCAAAGCTTTACATATCGAGAAGAACACAGAGAGGAGGAACAGCAACAACAAGAAAGATATCCAATGGCACTTGATCTTAACTTCACAGCTCAGTTAACTCCAGTTGATGAGCAAGAGGAGAAGAGAAACACAGGATTTCTCGGAATCGGATTGGATGCTTCAAAGCTGATAAGTAGAGGAAGAACAGGTTTCAAACCATACAAAAGATGTTCCATGGAAGCCAAAGAAAGTAGAATCCTCAACACCAATCCTATCATTCATGTGGAACAGAAAGACCCCAAACGGATGCGGTTGGAAACTCAAGCTTCGACATGAAACTCTATTTTCATCTCTTCTGTTTGTACTCTGTTTTTAAATTTTCAAGATCACTGGTACATTTTCTTTGTCTTTTGAGGCCTTTGTATTTGTTTCCTTGTCCATAGTCTTCCTGTAACATTTGACTCTGTATTATCAACAAAGCATAAACTGTTTAATCTTTATGTCCAACTTCCTATTTCTTCAAATTTTGCTTGCCCCGCCAATCCTGCCGTATGCAAGTCCCTACTGCTCAAATATTGTTTCTGTACCGTCAATGTCAAGCATAGGAGCTGCAAGAGAATGAATTGAAGAAGCCATGAGCCCAACTAATTAGGCCCAATGACGTTTGGTAACGAAGGTCAACCAATCCTGAACTGTTATAACTATAATTATAAGCCGAGATAGTGTATGATTGTATTTCTCGCTTTTACCAAACGATAGTGCATCGTAACGTGAGTCCCCAAGTTTTTGTTGCGGAGAGAACGATTAACCTTTAGATCTGACACATTACGTAATTTTTAATCAATCTTTCTTTCAATTCAAATAAAAAACTTTGCATACTTCTTCTAGTATTATACGGATACGTAACAATAACAATAGTAAATTTTATGAAAATTGATCAAGACAAAGAGAGTAGCGTTTTGGAGTAAAAATAGGAGAGCTCGAGGTCCAATGGTGCAAAAATGTTAGCTATTCAACGGACCATTAGTCTACTATTCCCCAACTTCTATAATATCTCTATACTTCGCATCTCCACCCTCCATTTTTCCACGTATATCCCTCAGGATCTCAACACGTGGCATATCTCTTTCGCGCTCTTTGGGTCCAATATCCAATTGTCTTTTAAAAACCCAAATAATTCGGAAACCAAGTGATTTCTAACAAAAACAACTGTGCACACACGCTTGTCGATATTCAATTTTTTCACAATTCCCAAATAAAAAAATTTTACGAAAATTTCATAATTCCAAGTCCCACGAATGTAGCTTTTGATGCATTCATACAAAGTATTAAATATTCTTTTAAACATTTATATACAAAACATCTTTTACTCATTGATTGTTCTTTCCGAAAACCTGAAATGCCTCCTCTGTTTCTTCCTTCTTCTTCCTCTGCTCTGTTTCTACTTCTTCTCCTCCTCTTAACTCTCCAAACCCTAACTTCCATCTCTCTCTCTCAGCCAGACGCTCTCCGTTCACCGGAAAAGTGTGGAAACTTCTCAGTCTCCTTTCCTTTCCACCTCTCTTCCTCCTCCTCCGCCGCCACTTTTCGACTCTCCTGCACAAACTCATCCACTCTGTTTCTTCATATAAACCACCAAAGTTACCGAATCATCGAGTTCTTCACCGACGGTCTCCTCGTAGACTTCCCTTCATCTCCTTCTTGTCGCCAATTCAACGACTTACGCTCTTTCCCTTTCTCCGCAAACCAATTCTTCTCCATCTCTTTCGAAAACGTAATCGGTCTTTATGACTGTGAAGATTCTTCTCTCTGTAAATTCGGTTGCGAAACCAACGATCTCTTTGGTTGCGATGGCAGAGAGGAAGATGAAACTTCCGGCGGAGATATCGGTTGTTGCTACCCTCTGTCCGATCACAGCGCGTGGCGTGCAGGCGATGATTTCTCTGTTTTTAGTAAATATGGATGCAGAGGATTCTCTTCGTGGTTTGTTCCACGAGGGACGAACAGAGGAAATCGAGGCGTTAAGTTGGAGTGGGCTATTCCAAGAAACTCGTCGGAGGCTATTTGTGATCGTGAGGCTCGAACTGTTAACGCTACGGCTATTGAAGGAAGTGTTCGTTGTGTGTGCCGTGATGGCTTCGTCGGCGACGGCTTCGTCCATGGCACCGGTTGCTTAAAATGTGAGTTTTTTTTCTACTTTTCATGTTTTTCGTGTAGGATACAGAGTACGTTTCAAGTAACCTTATTTTACTATTCTAAACAATAAATAAAAATATCAGTTTCACTATGAATATGGTTCGTTGGGTTACTAAAAAAACTTAGTTTTTGATTCAGATCATTTAGCTCAGTAATTCAGTTTGCCCTAGTTTTATCAGACAAGTGTTTCTTGAGTCACAAGCAACTTACTTGATTTACTGTTATAACAGCTTGCTATAAAGACGGAAAGGAATTATATGGAGGCAAATGCAAGATCAAGAAACACAACGGGAAGAAACTCACCGTTTTAGCCGGTACTTAAGATAATCTTATCTGAATAAATTCAAAGTTTCTTTGAACAAAACTTCTTGCTAAAATCATTAATCATATGCAGGTGTTTTGGCTCCTCTGTTCATACTTGGCTCACTGTTAGCTCTCTTCTGTCTCCTTAAACGTCCTGTTACAACTCACAAAGACCAGCAGTTCGATATCTCTACCTCAACTACTACTAGTGTTTCGTTTCGCAAAGATTACAACAAGACTCGTCTCTTCTCTTCACTTACAGTGAGCTAGATGAAGCCACCAAAGGGTTTCAAGATTCACAGAAACTCACACAAGGGAAAACTGGAACAATCTATTCAGGCAATTTAACAAACGGAACACGCGTGATCGTTCACAAGGTTCTTTGCGAAAACAAGATTGAATTCATGGAGATTTCGTCTCAGATCGATCATCTATCCGCGGTTTTGCATAGAAACCTCGCGAGAATCATAGGTTTCTGTATGGATATTGGATATAACCCACTCGTTGTTTACGAGTATCCGGTAAACGGATCACTTGGAGACCGATTGCGTCTAGGGCTTGATTGGTGCAAGAGAGTTAACATTGTAGCTGAAGTAGCTGGTTTACTCGCTTTACTTCAATACGAGAACTATCCACCGATTCTACACAACAACATTTCTTCTGGTTACATCTTTTTAGACGAAGATTTTCAAGCTAAAGTCACAGGTTTTGGTTTACAGAGGAAACAGAGGATTGATACTAGTATGTACGATTTCGCGGTTTTGCTTCTAGAGATTGTGACTGGTTTAAAGCAGAGAGAAGAGACAGTGACTCAAGCGTTGCAGAGGATTAGAAGCGGTAAGCTTGAAGAAATCGTGGATCCTTCTATGTATTTTCATGAGCAGCCTGTGGCTTTTAGAGAACAGATTGGTTTAGTAGCTGATATCGCGACTCGGTGCGTTTTGTTTGGTGGTGATGGGAAATTTGGAATGGTTGATGCAGCTAGAGAGCTGTTGCAGATCGCTGGAAACAACGGTGGAGGCGGTTGCGATAAGAAAAGAGATGGAATTGAGGAAACGTTTTCGAATTCGAGTTTGCTTCAGATGATTTCTATGTCTCCTGATTCTATCTATCTCCCTAAGACCTAAAACAAAAACAGAGGAAGTGAATTTTGTTTTGAAAGTATGTAAATTTAAAACGCTTTGCTTGAGAGTAAAGAAACGTTTTTTTTTTCTCGATTACTAGATCGTGTTCTGAAAAACAAAATCGTGACTGCGATTGGAATACACGATTATAACAACGTGCAGGCAAAGAGCAAGAAGAAACACTATAAACAAGTACAATGTTTTGTATTTTTCCCATTTTTAAACAAATTAAATATTGAATATTCTGAAAAAGAAATTGAAAGGCTGAGAAAGAATATCTCTGGAATCATCAAATTCGATTTTGACCAAATCGTTGTGCTATTATTAAACTCTGATTTCTCGTATAAATATATACGTAGCTCTGTTTTTTCAGAACTTACATTTGTTCTTGTCCCTTTGAAACGAAATAAGATCCAAAGGTAATTAATACTAATTCTCTAATTGTTTCTTGGTTTTGTTAGATCTTTCCAAATGCTCTGTTTTCTTCTTGACAATCAATAAGTCTGTTAATTTTTGCGATTGATTGATGTGATCATCATAGATGAGTGAAGAAACATATGAAGAAACTCAGGAATCGAGTCAATCTCCTCGTCCAGTTCCAAAACTGAACGAGAGGATTCTCTCAACACTATCCAGGAGATCAGTAGCTGCACATCCATGGCACGACCTTGAGATTGGTCCTGAAGCTCCATTGGTCTTCAATGTGGTATGTCTCTAACCTAACAACCCAAATAATCCCTCTTTAATCTATCTCTCTTGGTCTGTTAACGAGAGAGACTCTCTTGTCAGGTGGTTGAGATCACAAAGGGAAGCAAAGTGAAATATGAACTAGACAAAAAGACCGGTCTTATCAAGGTAATGTGAAATCCCTCAGATTGTGATCTTCTTTTCTTTTATATGTTATGATATTGATGACATTGAAATCGATCTCAGGTTGATCGGATCTTGTACTCGTCCGTTGTTTATCCTCACAACTACGGATTCATCCCCAGGACATTGTGTGAAGACAACGATCCTCTTGATGTTCTTGTCCTTATGCAGGTAAGCCTGTTTTCACCAAATCATGATCATTAGCATTAACCACATTGTGTTTTAACGTGAGTGAGCTTATGATTCGTGTAGGAACCAGTGCTTCCCGGATGCTTCCTCCGTGCTAGAGCCATTGGATTAATGCCCATGATTGATCAGGTTTCTCCTCTCAATTACCACACATTGCATAGATCTTTCTTAGAGATCATCTATAAGTGCAAGCTTTTAAAAATTGATATTGCATATATAAGAAATCATCAAAATCAAACTTGCAATTCAAGAAATCCAAAATTTCCTTTGATCTAAAAGTAAAAACTTTGGATAAGGATCAAAACCTGCATTAATGCCAAATAAATCTGAGTTTTTGTTCTCCGGTGAACGTTTCAGGGAGAGAAGGACGACAAAATCATCGCCGTATGTGCTGATGATCCAGAGTACAAACATTTCACAGACATCAAACAACTCGCTCCTCATCGTCTCTCTGAAATCCGCCGTTTCTTCGAAGATTGTAAGATCCTTTTTCTATCCACATCTGACAAAAAAAAACAATCACTCAAATTAAAGAACCCTAATTAATCGAGTTTGGTTTTAGATAAGAAGAACGAGAACAAGGAAGTGGCTGTCAACGATTTCTTGCCATCAGAGAGTGCACATGAAGCAATTCAGTACTCCATGTAAGATTTAACAAAACCCTAATTAAACCCTAAAATCGCAAACTTTGTTTGAATATATATCAACAAATCTGCATTGTTTGTGAAAATCTACAGGGATCTATACGCTGAGTATATTCTCCACACGTTGAGGAGATGAACAATCACCACATTAATTATTTTTCTTTACGCGAAGAGATGATTCTTCGCAGCATTCGCATATAATTATTTTAAATATTCTCAATCATATGATCGGCTTTTGCAGTTTTTTTTTGTTTTTTATCCTTGTGATGTTGCAATTTTGTTCAATTGTATAATTTGAAACTGATATGATGCCAAACGCAGTTTTGCCTAATCTTCGATTATTGCATGGTGTTGACTTTTCCACTTAATGGCCGGCCCAAATAAGATGGGCCATTCCATTAGAACCATCTCTAATTTCATATAAAATAGTTAGAATTTAGGGAATAAAAACTATAACAAGTGTATACGAACCAATCAAAAACCAATATATAAACCGACACGTGCTAAAATCGACTTTAAAGAAGAAAAAAACTAACGAAAGATCTCTATTCACTAGATTACAGGTACAGTGAATAGAGAGAGATATACATCATACAGATTTATAGTTGGCAAATATTGAGATAGTGTGGATCCAAATGAGAAAGCGACTAAACATGAGTAGCACATATTTAGACAGAGAATGGGCTTTTGGATTTATCATCTATATATAATCGTATTTACTTTGGGCCTCACTTTTTTTTTTTTCCCTCTTTTAGGGACCACACTACTCCACTCCAATTTTTTTTTTATAATTGTTGTAATAATCAACTAAATGACGATTTATTTTTCTAAAAATATGGTCCGACATGTGTACGTGTGTATATATGGTTATGAAGATTTAAGAGTGTGAACAGTAAAATGAATGTGAATATATAAGAGCTGCAGGGGGAAGCAGACTTTCGCTGCTACTGCAGAGCCCTTTTATATTCATGGAGTCAATTAATACATTATTTTATAACCTATGAAAGTGTAATAATATAAAGTTACAATTTTATAAGGTCAATAAATACATATAAAATCCAAATTTTTGCAAACAAAAGCCTCCAAAGTCCAAATTCAATAGTGTTTTTGGCCTTCAGAGTTGAGACAACCTGAGGGGTTTGATTCCTTTGTATCCATCCTTCCATACAAAACTGACCCCACCTTATATATATGCATTTATATTTCATCAATTTATTTGTTATCATTATCAGTTTATCACTCATTTGTTTGTTTGCTTTTAGTTGTAATATATAAACAATAACTTAAAAATATAAACCTTACTAAGAACAGGAAATAAAAATTTGAAACTATTTCGAAAACGGTTTATTATTTTCACTTTATTATGAAAAATGATATATTCGAAAATATAGGAATGATCCATATATGTATCAGACGGTAAATTCAAATAAAATTTGAATCCACTATATATAATATTTTCACCTAATCGACTATATGTTGAATACTATAAAAATTAAGGGTGAACTTAAACAAATAAATTCTTCATAATATATAACATATATAGATTGAATAAAATAATACTATTGAAAACAATAAACATGAAAAAATAGAAATCTTGGCTATACGAATCTAAATTTCAGGAATTGGATAAGGGCAATAAGCATTAACTTTTCCTCTTCTTTTTTGGCACATGAACTTTCAAGATGCATGCTTAAAGACCAATTATGTTGTTTAAATAAAGGAGAGGGTTGGCTAGAGAGAGAGAGAGAGAGGGAGATGGAGAGAAGAGAGTCCTAGACTCTGGGGGCAAATTGACAACTGGAGCATGTTGTTGCCATTATCGCACCACCGATTCTTCATTTTAAAAATTTTAAAATTAAACAAAAAAAAAAATGGACCGCCTTCTACTTCACCACTACCTCTTCGATGGCGACCGATCTTATATGTATTATTATCATATCTCTTTTATATTCAATAATGGTCGATTTAATTTATTTAACACGAGTGACTCTACGCAGATCGCGTCGGTCCAAAAAAACCTACAACAAATTTATATTATTTTACAGTTTCTTTATGAAAAGAAAACAAAGAAACCCTAATTTTTTAAAGGCTACGTTTTCTTGTCTTGCCCTCACACACACCTCGATGGATCGAGCAAAAGCCAGGCCTGCCCTTGCCCCAATCCATTCATCAAACTATTTATACCATATATATTATATTCACCAGTGTTTTTTCTCTCTTTTTTTTTCTGCGAATAGATTGGATAGATATTTACAAGTTTTGTTTTTTTGTAAATGGTTAGTTTAGAAAAACTTTATAGATGATTTTTTTAATTTTGAGATGCAATTACAATTCATGAGGGTAGATATAGAGTTTGGCGTCGGCATTTGAAAGGAGGGGAAGACTCTAGTGGGATAAGAGGGTTTAAGGAGATGGACAAAAGAAAGTAGCATCGAGTGGGCATTTAAATTAACAAGACTTAAATAAGTGCAAGTCTGTTTTTTTCAGTATACAATTACAAAGTGGTCCTTACCCTAACCCCATCTTTTCTTCTTTCATTATCATATGCTAATATCTCTCTATATATATACACCAACTCTCCATCATTCTCATAAGCTAATTTGGTACATTAAACTACTACCATAAAGTGGGTTTGCCAAATCATAGTTTAATCCCACAAACAACGACTAACAAACTACTTCGATCGTTATTTTATGTGGGTCAATTCAAACGATAGTGTGACGACATAGATTAGGGTACAAAATTGGAAGGTTAGAATCGAGAGCTAAGAGACCACTGAAAGGTTGATTTGTTACGGGTGTAATTATTAGACTATTTTTTATGAAATTGGTTGTAAGATTTTCAGTCAATTTTTTTAAAACAAATTGTTTGCCGTTAAAAGTAATGAACACTACATAATACATATTATTGGCTTTTGAAAGAAAGAAAACAAAACAAACAAAAAATGGACTGTGAGAGATTTTTTAAAAGTTAACTTATGCTCCAAACTAAACAACTACATGCTCCATTAATCATTTTAGTCGCATTGCAAATTTGCAAGTTTATCTACCGAGAAGATTATCTGTAAGCTAAGTTGATGCATTTTTGTAGTTCAATTCAAATTTAAAACTATGAATGACTTTGATAGGAATTGAAGAGTAAGATGTATAGAAATAGAGAGGTCCCCTTGGCTAATAGGGCATAGCTTTGAAAAGGACAACGCTACAGTTTCCTCGTAATTTCTTGATATTTATTGTATTATTCTTTCTCTCTCTACAAGAAATTAAAGTAATAGAGAGATGATCATATGTAAATATTGGGGAAGAAAAAAAAATAGAGTGGAGAACAAAAAGAATAGTGGTCATAGATATAAAGAAAGAGTTAATCGTATTGCCTTTTGTTGTGCTTCGCTATTTTTGCAAAATTTGGAGAACAAAATTTATCTGTCATATTTATGTTGCTGATATTATCCAGCCTAATATTCAATTCATTCAGTCACATATTAATTAGGGGTGATATTATAAGATGCGCGTGGGCAACAACCCCCTTTATTAAATCAACAAAGAAAATAAGATAAGCCATGCAATGATATGATTAATAAAAGTAAATTATAGCTATAGTACTTATCATATGCAATTTGATATATATTATTAGAATTTTCATTATTAAGATGCAAAACTTTCCTATAGTTTTGATTAAGATTCGAATCAATAACGATGAAGCAGAAGAAAACAATCTATCGACTAGAGGCTTTTGTGTCCAACCAATTATGTACTGAGGAGTGAGGATGAGATATTGGACCACGTTTATCAATGTTCCTTTACCTACTGCTTTATCATGTCAAGTTTCTAATTTTCTTGCAATCCAGTTCTCTGCCCAGCTAAATATATATAAGCTCAGCAGTCAATGAAAAGATGTGATAAGACTTATGGTAAAAAAGAAGAAAATTTAAGTAGTACGTAATCGACTAATAACATCGATTAACATGAAAATACGACTATGCTAGCTAGTACATCATCAGACTACTACAATTCTATTTTATTAAAGTTATAAGCTTTAATCATTAACCAGCCATTCATTTAGACTTAAACCGAAATTGGATAAAGGGACGTGAAGGGTGCTTAGTCTCTTTCAGGACCACGTCCAAACACAATTAGAAGATTAACATTGACTATACGTGAAAACTGAAAACAATCAATATATTAGTTGTTAAGGGTTTGCCAGGGTTCAAGTGTTACGTGTCATGTCTAGAGCAACATATGTAACGTTACTATACTAACATTGTTAGATGCTGTTAGTACGATGCGCTGGAACAAACAAATGTGTCGATTTTCGTTTTATGTAGAAAGTTATATATCTTGAGCCATAAACTCTAAGATTCTTTGGCCGGTCCAAGAACAAGACCATATCTATTATTATTATTTTATTGATTAAGGAGAGATTCTTATTCCCTCCGTTTCAAAATATAAGAAGTTTTAGTTAAAAACATGCCTATTAAGAATATATATATTTTAAAAGTTCAACCACTCATAAAAGAGACTGCATAACAAAAATAATCATAAAATATTAAAATAATATATAACTTGCATAGAAACTTGAAAACGACTTATATTTTTTTTTAAAAAAATTTCTCCAAAACGTTTTATATTTTAAAACAGAGAGAGTATTTTTTTAGAAAGTTTTTCTCTCTCATGAGTCTCATCGATGGATTTTGTGACATTCCAAGTGAGTATATTATCATGATTTTGTGAATTCCATGGAATTGAACGCATATGCAAATGTAGTTACACATGATTTTTAAAAATATATTTTGCAAACAATACTAATATTACTAATGCATGATTAACTAAACAACTATCTCATTTTAGTTTTTCGTGTGTTTACAGTTAAATTGCAAAAAAAAATATGCGGCTTTATTTTTAGTTTTTTTTCTTTTTCTTTTTCGATTTGATCATCCTGAAATATTATAAAGAAGAACGATTACGTACGATATCAAGGTATACACATATTAGTGACTTGTTTTCTTTGTTGGGTTACCTTAATGTTAATTATATTCCAAAAGCTATCATAAAATTTACAGAAAAATCTTCATTCAAAAAAAAAACTTTACAGAATATTGTTAGGTTCTTTGGGGACAGTTACAAAAAAATTAGGCATTAAGAGGATACCATATATGGTGAAGGTATAATTAAATCAAAGAAGAGAGAGTAGATAGATTAAGAGAGGGTGCTAAAAGGTTATAAAAGGACAAAGGTGTCGGCTAATGAACCTTGAAAATTCGGAACCAGAGTGACTTTTTTTTAATTGGCTGTAAAAGGTTCCGGCCGTTAACCATATACTGTAAGTATAATAATTAAGTTAAAGAGTTGTAAATGTATATATTCTTATATTAAGATCTAGATTGGCCTGGCCAGTTCATTTAAAGAAAAAGTAATCAGCCAACCAAACAATATTAAGATGGAGATTGTTAGGTAATCTGATCATAATATATATTGAGAAAATGTGCATGATTACCAAAAATATGATATTTTCTCAATCCGCAGATGAAAATTGACTATTCAAATACTATTAATCTATAAGCATTCATTTGAAGTTAGATTAAATACCATCGATAAGTCGATCAATTTAAGAATCTTTCATATTATTGGTTTATTAGGCCAAAAAAAAAAAAACTTAATACGTATTTTAATTTTAGGGTTAACAATCACGTTCCAGACGTACGAGATGTCTGTTATATAGCTCAGTTGTTACTTGTTAGGGTTTTATTGTGATCCTAAAAGGAAATTTAATTTAAGATATAAATAAGAAGTTATTATGTCGTCGAAGATATATATCAAAATAATATTCAAGAAATATTAACCAATACGTTTAATATCAACTTCTTTTAAGTTGGAAACTCATATATAAGAATTTAAAATTCACATAAGTTTCGTATAGTTTTTAGTTTTGATAAAAAAAAAAACTATGGTTTTGATGTTTTATACCAGACATGATGCAACGTAGCAACGAGTACACAAACATTGTAAGTGCAAAAACAAACAAAATAAAGTGGTCATTGGAATTATAATAAACTAGAAATAGGCCCGCACGATGCGCGGGTTTATATATTAGAAAATAGTATATGAGTTTGTGTAAAAAATAATTATCAATTTAAGATTTTTTTTAATGTTTTTATTTATGTGGTTGATGATGAGACCGGTTGATGATACGTGTATTTTTCTAATTGTTTCTAAATTGTAGTTGTGCTTAAATTCATATTATTAGATATTATTGTTGTTTTTTACTTTCATCGTGACTAATATCATTTATTTGATTTGATTTTTTTTTTTTAATTATTTTTGAGAATTACAATTATATAGTATAATAAACAAAAAAATTAATAAATTTAAAGGTTCTTACTTAAAATAAAAAGTAATACACAATTAAAATTTGAGAATATATTTGGTAATGTTAAAGTATCAATTTGTGATACCGATTAAAATATAAGAAAATTTGAGTATGTGCTATATATTATTATTTGTAATTATAATATAATATAAACAATTAACATTTTCTAAATTGAAACAATGGTATTTTTTAAACAAATGAATAGCCAAAAAGGAAAAACTAAATATTAATCAGTGTTTAGGAAATTAACAAAGATTGAAAAAATTAAGGTGATTTAAAATAAAACAAAAAACTATTCTGGACATCACAAATAAAAATAAAATATTCTAATCAATAAAAAAACTGTAAGAATAATATTTGAGAATGATATTTGGAACTTAGAGTAGTGATAGTAATGGTAGATCGAAGAGTTTTTATTTAGAAATAAAGAAGATTTTGTTTTTGGGAAAAACAATTTTAAAATTAGAATAATTTTATATGCGTTTGTAAGTTACACATTTTAGAAAAATCAAATTTAATAATATTATCTAAAATCATAATATATGTCAACTTATATATGTGAAATGAGAATTTTATTATTTTCAAACGATCAAGATAAAAGTGCAAGATTTGACGTTGAAATCTGATGTATGTGGTTATAAATGAGTTCATAAATGAGATTTGTTCTCAATAAATCAATTTCACATGCACCAAATCATGGTTAAAGAAACTTCATGACAAATATCTCTCCAATATATTTTAACTTTCACTTAAATGAAGAAGACCATGCAACTTATAAAAAAATTGAATATTGAAATATAGTAAATAGCAAATAGATATAATCTGTTTTGGGAACCAATTCGTAGTCGAATATATTACATGTGATTCATTAGATGGTGAAAAAAGAGTAGGTGTCGAGAGACGACGAGTGAATCATCGAAGATAACAAGAGAAATGTAGTGAACAACATAATTATTTTCTAAACTTTGGACTAAGAATGCAAATGATTAAAATAAAATCTCTTCAAATTCGAATGATTATATTTATATTAAAAATACGCATTGATAAAAAAAAATTGAATTAAAATCCCGCGCAACGCGCGGGTACATAATCTAGTTACAATAAAGTACAGGTAAGAGGTATAAATGTGTGGATTAATAATATAAAAA